CTTTGACGGCTGGCGGCTGACAGATAGATGCGATATAGCTTAGAAGAAGTGGTGTGCAAAATGAACGTCGATAGTGTAACGGATAGAGCACGCGCTCCAGGTAGGAGTGAGATGCGGGCTCCAGTCCCGCTTGACGCGAAAGTTTTGCAGTTTTGCACATCACTCTACATTACTGGGTATTAACAGAGGTTTGACAGAGACAATACATTATTAGGTCTACGGAGCGAACTTTACGTTTGAATGCACAAAAGTGAAAGCTGAGGTTAGGGTTCACATGAACATATGTCATCGATCAGTCGAAACTTGTTTTAAATGATAAGGTCTCTTATAAACACACTTGAAATATTCAGTTTTTTTTCTGTTTATTTTTAATAGGTTAACAGAATGTTTCTGAGTAGCTGCAGGCGAAAACTACGCACAGTTAAGATAACCAAGAAAAAACAGCGTCAAGAACGAGTGATTTGTGCTAGGACATACGATGTATAAAAAAATCAGGACGAAGCAATAGAAGTGGGCACTAGAACGTAGATCGTGAGCAGCAAATCGAGAAACCGAATAATCTACGAATTATCCAATTATGTAACTGTAAAGCTACTCTTTCTCAAAAGTCTTCTGAGATATTCGTACAAGGAAATTAATTTTACCAAAAATTCCAATACACCCGTGATACAGAGTCTTAGTGACAGAGCAAACTTTTGTTCAATAATTCGCGTTGTTCATACTCGATTGATCTTTTCCTGCGATTTCGAAATACATTTACAAAACATCGTACAAAAAATCGAGAACGAGTTTGAAATGAGGTGTTTGTCTAAGTGGCTCTCGTAATGACAAGTAAAGGTTCTAGGGCAACCGGGCGTTCTTTTCACTAAAAATACGTTCAGCACAGTTCTCTCAATAATATCGATTTCATCGTAGCTGCAAAGTCCGCTTAGTATCAAAACTTTACTATGTGATACTAAAAAAAAACCCTGTAAAGTTGAAACGACGCACTACGAAAACAAGACGGCATCTTTTCTTTAATAACAAAACATAGTAAAAAGGTTTCCATGCAAACCAGATTCAACAGAAAAATCTCCATTTCTGGGGCTACGGAGTGATTACCTCTAATGAAAAAGCTCCTTTACGGAAAAACCAAGAAAATGCGAGCATATTCCACACAATGAGACTGCATTCCACATAGTTCGTGATGAAAGTGGAAACTTTTAGGAAACTGGGAGTTCATTTCACTGAATATACCTCCATACAGGGTCCTCCAATTATTCTACTTTTTGATAAAGTAGAAAGTTTGCTAAAAATCAAGATGTTACATTACTTTATTACTAAGAAAGTATACTGTGAAGTTGAAAAACGTACTTCGAAAACAAAACGCTACCTTTATTTCATTAATAAACGTAATATGAAGGGTGTTTCACAAACCAAGCTACCAAGCCTAGCATCAAAATCGGTATTTTCGGAATATCAGATGATCGCGAAGACATACTTTAGAAAAAGAAACAAATGTCATTTGAGAGTTTCAAATTTTTTTTCATTTTAGGAAGGTTGTCGTTTTCTCGTTGAAATTTAGGAAACTTTAACACATAGATGTTCTTCATACTAAGAAACCTCTACGGAAGTTCCTTCTTTGGTATTTATTCATTTAGTGAGGGTGATGTACCCTCAGAACCTTTAATTACCAAATTAACTTCCACATTTCCATCGCAGCCCGAGACGCGATGAACCGTGACACATGTGTGTGCCAATTGGTGCTCAAAGGGTTAATCAGTTGTGGGCAGCTGTCGTCTTAATTACCAGTTTGTTTCTTTCCCATTCAACTCGTAATACAAGATTCATAATCTATTGAGAACTGGAAAGCCCCACAGAATAATGAAAAAATAACTTCAAATCAGGACTTTTTCATCCAGCTTGCACAGCAGTTGTATATCTATTCAAGAGATCATTGCAAGCTGTGCTCGAAACTGCGAATTAGTTCTGGCACATATAATCACAGATTGTATCTTTCTTCACCCAGCACACAGCCTTCTCTCAGTCTAGAATATGATCTTCCTTTTCCGTGTATAAATTTTCAAAGTTTATAAAAATTACTGCAGCCTTTTTTTAGCTCAAAAAATCGTTAGACGCATCAAGTGCATGTTTTTCCTGATGAGCAGATAAGAGTGTTAGTAGCACAATTTTTCAGTGCAGTAAAGGGCAAGAAAATAATTGCTGAAGTTTTGAAGGTAAGGAACAGCTTCACTTCTGGAAGCACTCACCGTCTCGCTGTTTTCAAGTCCACCAATTATTTACTAAATCAAGGCTCACAGGTCCTACACAGAGGTGGATTCTGTCCGGCCTATGTCACAAAAATTAGCCTGGGCTAAGGCATGAGGTCGCGTATGATCGCGAAACACTCCTCCTTGCTGTTTATTTTTGATTATTTGGCACTTATAAATAAAAATGTTCTTTTTTTGCTACAGCAATACATTTACTTGTCAGTTGGGGGATGTCTGGTAAGTTAAATATAAATGTACTATAATACTCTACTGATATTAAATGGACAAGGGCAATGAGTCTTTCCTTGCGTCAACTTCAAATTTGTTGCTCAAGTAGCCGAAATATAAAAATTGCGCAATTTTTTCTGATATAAGACTTCGCAACGTATTAGTAGTGACTTCGGTACTTTCGATATATGGTACTTCCGAATAAACGGGAACTAATGAATATTCGGCACCATTCGCTGAATAAGAACTTTTTATTGATTATTCGTAATTATTCGGGAGCCTAAATCTCTGGCTAACGCTGGCGTAGGCGGATTTTAAAAAAAGCCTTTTTTCGATGATGTTACAAAAGAAAAATTTTACGTTTCACACACTCTTTTTCTCGCAAAATGCAGCTATTTCATTGGGCTATTAGTAATCATTCGAGAGCGTGTGATTTGAAAAAACCCAACGCTTTGCTTTTTCTGAAAAGATCGTTTCTCTTCAGCGCAATAGGAAAAATAAGATCAAATTCACATGCTCGGGCATGAGGCTTTCCCTCTGCTCAAGGAAAGAATTACAGATAAAACATATGACTGTGATACTTCAAGATTTTCTCTTCACGTTCATATGCTTTCCTTTGTGCATAGATAGGCGGCTTAGTCTGCTTTAGCTTAGTCTCCTTGGCTTAATAGCGAGTTTAGCTGGAAAAATAAAATGGAATAGAATCAAATAAAATATGATAATAATTATAGTAGTAATTTAGATAATTATATAACAATATTGTAAATTGAGAAGTCTAAGTCCACTGAACGGAACAAGTTTTCTTTTACCAATGAAATACAAAACTTTAGGAATTCATATGAAACAGCGGAGAAGTTTACAAAAAGTAACAAAGATAGGAGAAAACGAGCCAAGTGTGAAGCGTAATCTTATTTTTTACTGCTACAATCTAGTAAAGAGACTTTTCTGGAAATGAAGTACAACACTGGGATAGTCGAGATTCAAAGCTTGCGGATAAATGCTACAACTCTAAAGAAACAAAATGTGTTGTTCCCAAAAGGTCGAAAATGAGTGCTGATAAAGAACAAGTCCCATTTATTCTTTTACTCTTAGAATCTCTCGAATAATTCTCAAGCGTCTTTCGTGCTGACGTTTTTGACTCGCACCTCAGATTCTCCTACCTCCTCCAAGTTGTCATGATTATGCCTTCCCGTCCTATTGTACTTAGGGTAGTCGTTGTTCGACGTTTTGACTCTCCGTTAAAGTGTTCCCTTATACGAGCATAAAAGAGTCTGCTCGTTTCGTCTATGTATTCATCACCATGTCTTACAAGAGATAAGGACAAACTCGCTTGCTACTCTTCCACTAATGAGGCCTTAAGAAAAATGCTGGTGAAATGGGTCAAGATCAGTGGAATTTCTTTGGACGGTCCGAGCGTGACTCATACTCCAGACTGTTTCCGGCTTTGAACTTCGCGAGCCACTTCTTAGCCGTCCTTTCTACAGCCGTATATTGCTCCAAGCTCCATTAATCTTGCGCGCCGCTTCATAGCAATGATAAAGTCGCAAAAAGGACGGCTAGGAAGTGGTTCGCAAAGTTCAAAGCTGGACAGGACAATCTGGAGGATCAATCGCTCGAGCTTCCACAGCAGTCTTCATTGATCTCAAGCGGCTGCTTCATTAGCATTTTCCTCAACGGGCCATTTGTGAGTGAGTAGCAAGCGAATTTTCCCTACGACAGCTCTATCTCAAAGCAAGTATAGAAAAGCTGTATACCAAAATGTTCGAAAGAAAATGTCAATTGAAGTGAAAAAAAAATCATGCAATCTTAATTACTTTTGGTTGCTAAAGTTGGTACTTATTTCTTTAGAATTGAAATTTATGGAATTGCTTGATGTCATCCTTCTAAAGACGATACGACACGTCTTGCACCGAGCCGAACGTAAAATACTAGGTAGTGCAACGGCCGAGTCACGTCTCGTGGGAAGAAAGGCAGAGTGTCAAACATGCTTGCACTGACATGCAGGTGCCGCCGACCTGCGACTGCCGCGCAAACGACGGCGCGATGCCTATTAACAACGGTCCTCGAAGGGTTATACAAAATAGCCTGATTTCATATAATATTCATGTATTACATATTATACCTGAATATTATGTACTATATATATGTGTATATATATGATATAAATCGCATATTATAGCGAACTTCCGGTGCGGGACTGACATTTTTCTGAACTTTTTCTTGATTAACTCTCTTCTGTTTCCACTAGATCCGACTCGATCCAACTACGACCACCCACAGCGCGTCAATGACCAGCTGTGGATTTTTGATGACCTGAATCAGTTGTGCCCAGATAGAAGCAAGGGATCGTTAGTTGTAAGAAGCTTTTACATCTTCTTAGTTGTTCCTTCAAAAAATCTTGGAGAAATATTGTTTTCATAACTGCGTGTAGGCGCAGTAGCTGGTGATTTGGATTTAATCGTAAATTTTGCTGAATACTGGTCGAGTTTTAATCTGAGAAGACTGAGGGTTGCGCAAAAGTTCGACCTCACGCGGGAGTTGAACCCGTGTCTTGCTCTTATTGGGCGCGTGTGCTGCTATTGTACCACCAAGGTCTCCGCCTTGCTACTACTCCTTCTTCGACATAAACTGTCGAAGCGGTCAGCAACCGACCCTCAAGGGGTTTGGTTTGGTGAGCGCACTTCAGCATTGAACCCAGTGGACAACCTATTTTTCTTTTCATTTATTCTGCTGTCTTGCACAGAATTCACATGCTAGAGGTCGGTTTTAGCGTACCAGGTGATCTTCTTGGAAGAATATTTGGGCATCATCCCACTGTTAGGAAGCAGTAAAGTGAAAGAAATATAGGTGATACTGGTCGAGCATTTTCACCGTGGAATTCTGGAAGAGCTAGAGCAATCTTTAGTTCTAGCCACAAGCAGTAGTCAGCAGCTGTGATTGGAGAGAGTTTATGTTGAAGAAATCTGACACTCGTGTCAATTCAGTTATTTGAAAGGAATAACGGAATTGTCCGAAGCAGAGGCGAACCGGCGACGTTATGCACACCCCAGGCTCTTCTTTTCATGTCATAATAAGATTTTCCTTAGCTAATAGCAAAATCAGATCTTATCACGAATAGAATAATGATTACACTGACTACACAATAACGGCACCCACTGATGTGCCGAAGAGGCACCATTTTCTTCCCATGAGAAAGTGGTCGGTGACAAAATAATAATATTGATGAGACTCACATATCCAGTGGTGATTGTTCAGTTCCTCAAAGAATGATGACCAATAGATTTGGTGTAAGCCAGCTGCCTTTGCGTTTTAACCCGTTCACTATCTAATTTTTGGTATTGATCCTGATGATCCTCCTCGGAAGGTGAGTCGATAAAATATCGTGGAACTTTTTTGTTCTGTCAACATTCAGTTGACAAGAAATCACTATGAACCCTCCATCTTTGTCGCTGATAGATAGTCGAATGTTGCCAAGTTTATCAGCTCGCGAATCTGACACATATCGCACTTTTGTTTTTGACTTACGTTTAAATTAAATTTTTTCCCGTCGATGGCAATTACGCAGCTGGAGAACTTCGCCCGAAAACAAACATAAAGTTGAGTGGATTTAAGTGAAGAGAGGACTTTCAAAAACGCGGCCAATTGTCGGTTTTGAGATAGTGTCTCTTGGGCATTAAGCAGATGAGATACACCTTGCATCAACTGTTGCCGACCACTGTCAATTGGTGTTCTTTTAACACTTTAGAAAACGTCTTTGGTGAAATTTCACGGCCTACTTTATAAATTCACCAATATTCAAGAGGACATATATGCAATGCCCAAAAGTCATCTTAGTCGTACAAAAATAGCAAACAAACAATTGTTTATCAAACAAAATTCTTGCACACTGCATGCGATGTCAATTAAACGATATAATCGTATTATTTTTCGGCTAATAGTGCACGTGAGTAAGGGCTTTCTTGTAAGCAATATAAAATTTTGTTCTATCATTCTATAGGCATGAAATGAATTTCCAATTTTTGCTTATACGACATTATGAGCATAATTTTTGCGGAGACGTTCGACACTGAACATGGACTGGCAGTTATTTAGGTGTTCTACGTATTTCCTTCTAATATAGTCTGTAGGAATGTTTAAAGCCTTATAAAGCTTGTTACGTAGAAGCTATACGAAAAAGGCGATAACACAATATCATGTATACCGCTAGACCTATCAGCTCAACACATGCATATCCTAATCAGATTATTATTTTGAGCGGGTCTATAACAAAACAGTCAATAGAAGAGGTATGTTTCATTATAACAGCTACGCGCTCGACTGCTGATCACCACAATGTCAGGTAAGTATATCACTTGGTTTGGGGTGATTTAGTACTCTGTGTCGATTCCTTATAGTGGACTATTTGACCTCAGGGGATCGGTTCAACCGAGGAAGGATGCTACTGATGAGTCCCAGTAGGACGAAATAGACGCCTGTATACCACTAGACCTTTCAGCTCAAAGCATGCATATCCTTATCAGACTATATTATGTGTTATCATCATAAACTACATCTCCTTGTCCATGCTATAAAGTAGGATTCAGTGTGGAGCGTCGGTCACTGATGAGGTGGGCGACACCTCGCTCCTTTGTTTCTGAGAATTTAAACAGTTAAATTTCGTTATAATGAACGTGTGGTAATGGTCCCGACGGCGAAGTCAGCTATTCTTTTCTGCTCCAGGTCATCCAGATCAATCATGACCACGTTTATATCACCATGTGTTTTCTATTCACTGTGATTTTGCTTTGAAAATATGGATAGTTGATGTATTCCGCAAAGATGCAGCGTTGGGACAGTAGTAGGACGTGCTATACTCTGTGTGGTAGTTAGAGTTTCTTTTAGGGATAGAAGGATCAAGGAATCGGTATTGTAATGGGATTATACAAACATCTTTAAGTCAACAATCGTAAGTGTTTTGAGGTTCATGTTAACTGCACATGGTGTTCTATACCCGCCCATTTTATGTGTTAAATACGAGGCTCACCACTCACTAAGGGGCGCAGTATTGCAGCCATCAATCTACACCATGGAGTACTGAAGAACTCACGATTGCAAGTCAAATGACTTCAATTTTTAACTTGTTGAGAATCATGTTGATTTTTTGCGCGACCAGCGGGGTGCCCTCCAATGACAATGTGGTAGTTTTCTGATGAAATTTAGATCTCTATCGACATTAAAGGAGGTTTAAGCGACACCAAATAGCAAAATATGATAGAGGAAACTTAGATGGGGATATTTTTATTTGAAACATGCCAAAACATTTTATCGCCATAAATCACGGCTAGTTTCCTTGTGTCGAAGCGATTAGTTCTAGATGGGGCGTCCAACTCTTCCATCTTCACATCCAATGACGCCGTCAGCATTGTCACACTCCGTGTGTGACGGATAAATCGTAGTATTTCATGTAGCAATGGCTTACTGCAAAACGAGTAGTGCAATTAATATGTAGCCGAGCATAGTGGACAAGTATTGACGAATACCTGACATTGACGAATACTGAACTGAGCACGTAGCTGTTATAATAATAATAAATTATAATGAATTATAACATCTATGTGCTCGATTGCCGGTCACCACAATGTCAGGTATTCCTCAATACTCGTCCACTATGCTCGGTTATAAATTAATTGCACTACTCGTTTTGCACTAACCCATTGCTAAATGGGAAACTGCGGGTCATCTTTTACGATCGGAGTATGACAATGCTGAACGCGTTATTGGATATGAAGATGGATTGATATTTGACAGTTCTGATGTACACGTGGAGCAAACACTTGCAGGTCCATCTAGAATTCATCGGTTCGACACATGGAAACTAGTCGTGATTTATGGCGATGAATTGTTTGAAGGAGAAATCAACGGGAGTATGACGGAATATAAAATAACCGTTGTGACAACATATATTCGAAAAGGGAGGACACCTGCTAATAATAATCCGTATAGCATATCAAGACAATTGCAAAACAATGAACTGTTTGTCAGTGATTCTGCACATTGCAAGCGATGCCACTTTATCGATAATTCGACACATCTTAGATAAAACTTTTATATATCCACTTATATCTAATCATGATTTCTAAATCTAATCTAGTCTAATCACTTACATCTCATTAAAGCAACTCCATCGCTTCTTCTACAACGGAACATTTTTGAGGCGAAAACAAGTGTTACAAAAAAAATATAATAGAAAGCTGTTAGGGAACAATTCATGATTTCCCGTACATCTAGGATCTGAGGAATGTGAAATGCCCAGTTAGCGCATTGACGAAGAAATACCCAACCTCGGGCGAAGGCTGTCTAAAAAAAGGCAGATCGCGAGACAACTACAATACTCACAATCAACTGCATGAAGTGAAGTTCAAGTTAGAAGTTTTCAAGCGTAATTTACTTACACTTTTCACTTACTTTGGCGGTAAACACTCCTGTGGTCGTCACCGGGTCATTGCTCTCAGGGGTGTGAAGGAATTCGAAATTTAAATGCGTATCTGTTTACGTGACCTCTAATCGAATCTGATGTAGTGGTTCCAAGCATTTCTTGCACTTGATCCGTTCCCTTTCATTCATTGTCATTGTGGAGGAAACAACATTTCACTACTTTGCCTGCACAGCTGTAAAAGGTTTTAATCATCAGCACAATCGCAGACAATTCAAAATTATTTTTGTTTTTTAATGTCTTAGATGTGTATAAAGTGGAAGATGTGTAAATCGAACATGCTAAAGATGTAAGTCGTGGGCAAGAATTGAAATGAAAGCTTATAGGTTCGCAGTGGTTGTGGTTCTATTTTGACTGGTTGACTGCGCGTCGGAAGTTCACATTGTAAATATTGCGAGTTTCCTGATAATAAATTTTTGTTAATTGTTTTGTTTTACGTGACCCTCTATCACTATCTGCTCTACAAACTCTGCAAAAGTTCTCCAACATTTTCGTGTTGTTTTGCTACAGCTTGAAAATTTTGTCCTCGAAGGCTAACCAAGTCTATTTTTTTTTGCATTCTCGGAGATAGGTCACTGTACATCATGCAAACTTGTCATATGATTGTCACTTTCAAAATGAGCAATATATCGCCGAAAGAAGTTGGCACAGTGCCTTTTCGATATTGCTGTATTCAAATTTATGAACATTAAAGCTTGAAAGGGATTGAAAATTTTTCATAGCATAGCTCTTATCCTCGAAAAAGAATTTCCATTGCCTTCTGGATTCGTGCGATACTTGTTACCGTCTATCTAACGCTCATTTTTCATCTATCGCTCTACTATCGCATCAAATATGTAGAAAACATTACTCCTGCAAGATCGATAAGGAAAACTAGTTGTGTAATATTACTGTGGCTGCTAGACCCATTTACTTGATGATTTATTCCACTGAGTAGTTCACTTAACACAACGTTATGCGTGAAGAACAGGTAATACAGGTAAGCGTGATACTGATCAAACATACATTTTTTCATGGATATCATGAGCGAATGATAGCCGACATCTAACGTGCAAAATACATGTTTGTGGAAGGAGTAGCAAAGTGCACGAAGCGCACTGTAGATGCTGTATTTTGAATTGC